AAACAAAACCCACTCCAAGAATGAAAGATTCCACTCACTCGTTAGGCGCTAACTATATGCCAAATTCCGACGCAGGGAAAGACTGACACAGCACGGTCCTGCTTTCAGGTGTCACTGTCCACGTGGGGAGACAAGCGCAGGGCAGTGAGGCGGGCAGGGTGAGAGGAAGGCAGGGGACGCCTGGGAGCGGAGGGGAGCATTCGCCAGGTGAAGGCAGGGCTGGGCGTCTCAGGCGAGGGAGGCCAGAGACGGGGGCAGTCCCGGGCTTGGGTGGAGGTCTGCACAAGTGGCCGGAAAGGACTGCCAGCAGTGGAATGGCTGTCCCAGGAGGTGGTGAGCTTGACGGGGACGGATGTCCAGGAATGTCAGAGGGCATCCCTCAGCTGGGTGAGGCTGGACCATCTGGCCAACGTACCATCCCAGTCTGAAAACACTCATTCTACAATGAAGGGCGGAAGATTCTGCTGCACGGGTAGGGCGGAGGGCCAAACCCTAGGGGAGGACGGCATCCGCGGCCCAGAGTCCTCGGGGACACCCAAGGACTCCCTCCACCCGCTACCAACTGCAGTCACTCTGCTCAGAAAGGTGGTAAAACTGTCCCTCACGTGGGACCTCCCGGGACAGGGACTGTGCACCTCGCCTGTATCCACAGGGCTGAGGGCCACATCCGGAGTGAGGGACCTCACTGTGGACTGAGGAGGTCGGCTGTCACCGGCGACTTGGCCACTAGGGGGTGCTCACCAGCAGTGCCAGGCACAGACCATCAATTCTGCGAATTTTATTCCTGCTTTCAAAGCCACTGAGATCATGTAACGACCATCCCACGAGGTAAGCAGGATGAAGCTAACCTCCGTTATGTAAATTATGACACCGGATCAGAGAAATTAAGTGGCCTACATGCTTAGGTGGGAGGGCCACCAATCTGAGCCAGGAAGGCTCTCCTGGGCCTTTCAGACAAAGAAACTGGGTGAGTGGGGGAAGGGTGACATGTCCCGAATGGCACAGTGTCAGGGCCAGGCGGAGGGCACAGGGGTGGTCCCAGCTGGTGAGGGGCTGTGGCTGAATCCGGCTGTTAGTAAAGCCCTGTGCTGGTGCCCCAGATACTTTCTGGGATCTTTTGGGTCTGTGAAGTCAAAAGGCCAGGCCACCAGGGACTCACTGGAGGCCCCTGACGTGCAGGAACCCTGAGGGGTGTCTGTAACATCAGCCATCTGCCCAGGCCTCTCTCCTCTCCATCTGTCCAGACGTTCCTCACCTCACGGCCCCTCAAATCCCATCCGGATGCTACCCATGGGTCATTCCACTCTCCAAACTGGCGCTACTCGTGGGCTCCACGGCACCTTTTGCCTTGAATCATTTCGCCCCTGACTTTGCTCCGCGTGCACGAGGTAGGAGCCGGTTCCCAGCACACATGGCCCGAGAACGCTTAGAGCCAGCTAAGAGTTGAAAATGCAAACCAGGTAGCATTCCTTCAGTTAAGCCCTCTTGTGCCTTCATTTCTTTGTACAAAATCCAACCCTCACGACCGGCGAGGACTTCTGTGAGCTGACTCCTGGCCTCCCTCCAAACACCGCCCAGTCTCTGGGCACTGCCCAGCACACTCCCCCTGCCCTGCCCCTCCCCCAGGCGGCCCCAAGCCTGAGTCTCTCATGTCCTCCTAGTCTCTGCTCAAGCAGCATCTCTGCACTGGGCTTCCCCGGGTCCTCCAGGAGCACACTGGTCCCTTACAGCCTGCTTGAGCCTGTTCTCACCCATGGTTTCGTGACGTCATCTCCCCACGAGAGCGTGAACGCCATGCAGGCCGGGGCCCTCTGCCACTTCACTGCATCCCCAGTGCCTCTAGCAGGGCCCCGTGCAGCGCAGGTGCTCAAGTGTGTACTCAGTGAGTCCATAGGATGTGGTGAAACATCAACTAGGCAGGGCCAGAGTGGACATTCACTAAATAGCACCATGAATGTACGGCCCTGCCCTGCTTCTTGATCCAAGGGCTCTGCTTTATTTTAGGTGATTTGTAAGTGATCTGGGAGCAGACCCCGTGGGACATAGCAGACTGGAATATTCCTTTAACTAACCTGGGGCCTGGGGGTCTAGGGTCATCCCAGGTACCAAAATAAATTCCGGGATTTCACCTGAGACCTAAAGGAACTCGTCCATTTGAAAATAAACATGACTTTTCAGAAAGCCGAAGCTTCATTCGGTACAATGTCCTGGACTTTCCTTCCACGAGGAATCGGTTAGACGGACTCTGGAATTCACAGGGGCGAAGTGCAATCAGCCGGGTTGGTCTCTATACCACCGTCCACCTTGTTGAAAGTGGGCCCTTCCAAGACAGACTGAGACCCCTGGACCCCCAGGTGCACCAAAACCTCTCCCATGCTTTTCTCCTTTCTCCCCCACCCTTCCTTTCACTTCAGCTTTTAAAAGATACCAAAGGCGAAGGGACAAACAGTGAGGGAAATTCAACCCTTGGAACGTTGAGCCTTGAGTGACCCAGCCCGACACGGGCCCAAGCCCCTCTGAGCCCCAGCGACGGAGGTCAGCGGGGCTCACTCTCGTTGCCCTGAAGCGCTGAGGGGACCACGCAGGGCCCCCGTCTCCACCTGTCAGCACAAGCTGGACACAAGGCATGGGACGTGTCTTTATTAAAGATGCAAGCAAGCACAGAAGTATCATGTGTGGAGCTCAGTAATATCCATACAGTACTAGAAATAGAAAAATAGAAAAGAAATTTCACAGAAAGCTGCCTCTCTCGCAGATACACAGAAAAGGTGCAGCTAAGCCCACCGCGAGACGCCGAGTACCACCTGCCCTACTGCAGCTGCTCTCCTCAGCCAGTAACAAAGCGCACGTCCGCACTTTCCAAAGACACCATGCACAACAGACCCCTCGCGCGTGGTGGCAACCCCTCCGGCCACCACTCCGGGAACTTCCCAGCCAGACGGACAGCCGGGACGGCCCCGTCCCACCGCGGCGGCAGCGTGCGTACAAACTGGCCACTGGCCCTGCTCTCACCTGGCTGCCCTTCCATCACTCCTCCGGGCTAACGTGGGCCAGTTAACGAAGCAAGTGGCGGGGCAGTAAAGACCGCACCTCCACTCCCTCGGACACAGCACCGAAGGCGACATCGCCAGCCCCGTCTGGGTGAGACAGGGCGCTACGCTCGCACATTGGGGCTCTGGGGCGCAGAGGTGCAGGCCCAGATGGAACAATAAATGGTATGTAAAGACCCAGTAGTTCTAGAATTTACCATCAATCATCTGTTTGCCAACATAAGCAGGTTTCTGCTTTGGGGAACGAAAGTAAGACTGCGGAACGAAAAGTCAGGTTCCGAGTGGACGTAGTGTCTCTGTGGCAGGCTCTCCAGTCACCACATCGCACGCCCGTCCCACTGGGTCCTCTGCATCAGCCTCGGAGCCACTGGCCGGGGGTCGCTGGCAGGAGGGCATCCTCTCTGAAAACGCCCCAGGGAACAGTTCCTGCTGTATCCCGGGGCGACTACTGAGAACTGAACACCACCAGCAGAAACAAGGTCCCCCCAACACCCGACTCACCCTCGGTCCTCACCAGCATCTCACAACCAGACAAGAACCGAATGGCTGTGCCTTACGGAAGAAAACTACAAAAATAAAGAGTCAACCCTGAGATCTTCCTACCATTCGGGTGTGGCTCGCTCCTGAGTCCCTCGGAAATGAACTTTTATTTGGTTTACTGACATTTATTTAGATTTCCAGTGAAAAGCTCTATAAAATACAATAAATAATGTGGGCTGTAAAAGGTAGACATTCTAGCTGCATATGTTACAGACAGGATACGTATGGTCCAGGTCATCAGAACCGCAATCTTTGTAATCAGACATGTAGACTTCAAATTCCAAAGGTGAGACAGCTGCTCTGGATCGGAAATAACCCCACTTCCTCCATTTCTCCGCCGTGTCTTACGCTGCTTCCAGAGTTTATCCAGCGGGTAACAAATGAGTGCAAACGGGACTTTGAGCTATTAGTGTCTGGGTACTGTGAGCATGCAAGTTTGCTGTTGCTGTTATTATAAGTAAAAGTCGAACATGAGGTCACACTTTCCCATCTTCTGTTTATACACCAAATCAAACTTCTCGTTCATGGAGACAGTGAAGATGTCCTTCCACAGCCCGACTCTTCCTAGAACACAAACGAGCAGAATGTGCTGAATTCACTTGCTGTCAGGCCAGCTACCAAACCACAGGAAACGGATCTGGAAGGTTCCAGATCTATTCCCGGACCCCTCTGAACCTGGCCTATTGGGGCAGGACGGGCCATGTGGACTACAGACCAGCTGAACCCTCTTCCCTGAGTCTGGTCATCCCGATGCGCTTTCCGCCCAGCACCACAAGTGTGCAGAGCTGCGGGCCTTGCCCATCCACCACTGAATCCCCAACCAGGCACAAAGCGGGTGGGTCACGACACCCCAGAGGACAGACAGTGTCTGTGGAACAGAGCTGCGGCTCCGGGCACCATGTGGATCTGGGTCCTCGTGACACCACTACTCACTCACGGCTCAACAGCTCCACCAAGGCAGGATTTGCTTCTGGAGAATTTTAAAAGGAAAAAAAAAATCATCCAAAAAGGTAGAACATTTTATGGTGAGCAGGAAGCCTCCTGACCAGGTCAAGGGTGAAGATTTCGAGAAGCCTGCTCGTGCATCGTCAGGGAGGAATTTAAAGGGAGGAAAACAGGCGGAGCTCCCAACTCAACATCAAAGGAGTCCCGGCCCCCCGGCCACTCCATCGCAGCCACAGCTCAGCGAGGCTTGGTCAGAAAACGAGACCTCCGGGCTTCCCTGGTGGCGCAGTGGTTGAGAGTCCGCCTGCCGATGCAGGAGATGCGGGTTCGTGCCCCGGTCCGGGAGGATCCCACATGCCGCGGAGCGGCTGGGCCCGTGAGCCATGGCTGCTGAGCCTGCGCGTCCGGAGCCTGTGCTCCGCAACGGGAGAGGCCACAACAGTGAGAGGCCCACGTACCAAAAAAAAAAAAAAAAAAGAAAATGAGACCTCCTCCTGGCAGATGTGAGGGAGCCTGGAGAGTGCAGACTGAGGTGCAGGCACAGGCCTACCCATCCCTTTATGAAGGGAAGAGAGAGCTCAAAATGACGAAAACTGCTGAACCCACTTTCCTTAACTACAAATCTTCAGTTGTTCTGGTCACATATGAATAGCGACTGTGAAGATGTCACAAGTGGGGGTCCCGCCCTCCCACCTACAGGAGCTGTGAACGCATCACCCGGAGAGCCGGGGCTGTGCTTTTATATAGCCGCCTCGGGGGACTGAAATGCCCATTTAGAATTCTATTCACCGTCAGCATCTCTGAGATCAGAGCTCTGACCGTCTCCAGCAAACATCCTTCGTTAGCTCTGTTATTAACAGTCGTCCTTGTCCTCGCAGGACCTCACATATGAAACTGCAACCCTGCAAATGCTGTGCTAACAGATCCAAAGTGGCAAGGATTTTCTCTTCGGTGATGAAAAATTGTATGTCAGTGTTGGAGAGGAAAAAACTGTGCTTGCTACCCTCTAATGATACCTAAGGGACAAAACTAGAAGCTTCTAGACCAGTCACACCATAAATATATTTTTCCATGATTATTTTTCTCAGCTGAGGCAGCTGAGAGCTCATCAAAGGAGTCACCCACCTGGTTTAGGATTTGGAATCGAGACAGTGCAATTTATGCTGTGACATGAATCAAATCTGAGCAATGCAGCTGCTCGCGCCCCTGCGTCCTCACCAACGCAAGGAGGCCTTCTGAGCAAAGAGGCAACATGCTAAAAGAAACAAAACCAAAGAGCTGAAATAAAGCAAAACCGAGGTAAACGATGACGAAGCAAACACGTCGGAAGGAGCGCATGGGCACGCAGTATGTTCTCGACACTTCTTAACCACACAAATGAACCGAAAGGGGGATTCTGGAGAAGGTCACACCCAAGGATAACAAAACACAGCGAAAGCAAAATAAAAAAGAGCAAATAAATTTTAAATAATAAACATTTGTGACGATGCAGCCAGGAACGAAACGGCAGGGTGAGGCGGCTTGTTAGTGTCTTCTTGGAGAGCGGCCCACCTGCCTTTACAGGAAGGCGCTCGCCCCCTGACCTTCAGAACAGCCCCGGGAGCCAAGCGGGTTGGCAGCCCCGACCCGCCCTCCTTAGAGGAAGGACAAAAGGCCAGAGAAGCTCAAAGGCGTGGCCCGAGCTTGGCCAGGCCAGGCCGCAGCCCAGCTCTTCTCTCCGCTCCAGGCAGCTGCCTGCAGAGTCCGGCGTCGTTTCCGGGCCCTCCTCTCGGCACCGGCACCACCCGAGGGAGCTGGGAACCGGCCTCGGGTCCACAGCACCGAGTCAGGCGCGACTCTTGCTGAAGGGGTGCTCACAGGCCTGGGCCGGCACCCAGCAGTGCCGGGGATTTTAATGCCCGAGCTCTCCACAGTCGAGCAGCCTCAAATACCACAAGCCCTGAGGGCACGGAGAGCAACCCAAGTGGGTCTGGGGAGGATTCCTGCCTGCAACACCTGCCTCACCTCGAACTGCTTCACGCGCAAGACACAGCTCTCGCACCAGGAGGGAGCGCCAGCCTCTGTGACGCCGAGGCCTGCACCTCCAGCTCGCGCGCGCACGCGCGCTCTCTCTCTCTCTCTCTCTTACACACACACACACACCAAACACACACCACATACACACGCGTGCACACGCACACACACCACACACCCCTCCCCCGACGGGGCTGCTCCTCCCAGGCTGCTAGTTCCCCGGGGGATGGAGGGAAACGGCCCTTCCGAACACGGACTCTGCACCCTCTTCCCTCGACTCCCACGGGCCAGCTGGAGCTCAAGGAGGCCACGTGCACGCACTGCGCTTCTAAACGTCACAGCCCCCAACCCATCCCCAGGGTCTGCCCTGTGGGGCATCTGGGAAGGCGCCCGCCTGAAACACCTCTTGCCCACAGAGCCTGAGACATCCCGGCAGCCACACCCGCAAACTCCGGCACGGCGTGCGGGGTGACAAGGCCAACTCCAGCGGGGACCTCCAGGGAGCCTCAGCAACACTTCGTGGGTTACCTTCCGGCCCCTCGAAGAACACAGGGCTCCGGAGAAATGAGGCTCAGGGCAGCGGAACCCTGACATGGGGGGACTGTGGTCCAGAAAGCGCGAGGACACCGGCAGGAAGGGGAACGAGGCCCCCGGGGCCCCAGGCAGAGGCAGAGAGAAGGAGGGTGGGACAGGCGGGCGCGTACCCCGGCCCACAGGCAGGGCCTCGGCGTTGCAGCACTGGTCCACCAGCTGGTGGCAGTGCTCGATCAGGGACTCCAGCTGGGCCTTGTCACACGACACCCCCAGGAACCGGGCCAGCTGCTCCACCATCGTCACCAGGTCCTGGAAGACAAGAGCAGAGCGCGGGAGCCTGTCGGAGGTGGCGCCTTTACAGAACACGACTTCGGGGACTGTATCCACAACCTTACTTAGGCCTCGAGACAAGCCTGAAACCGGCCTCGTCTGGAAATAAAATCCGGGTTAAGAAACTGCCCAAGGGCACTCAGCTCTCAAGTGGCAGACCTGGAATTCAAAGCCAGGTCCCAGGGAGGCAGACGTGAGGTCCTGACACAGCTGCGGTCATTCTAAGCAGCAGCAGGAAGGAAAAGCACTTCGGAGCTGCGCCAGGAGCAATAGCAGCTCGCTCTCTCCCGCCTGCCCCGCCCCGCCCCGCCATCGGCTGGGATCTCGACTGGCACTCAGGAGAACTGGGAGACCCCGGGACCCCAGACAGGCCTCAGGGCCGGCCCACCCCACCGGACAGGCGGAGCTGGCTTGGTGTGAAGCAAGATTCAGCTCTACTTGACTCACTGACATAAAGCCACCTCTGGGCCCCATCGCCGCACCATTCCTGAGAGCGGAGCATTACGGGTGCAGCCCAGCAGCCTCCGGAGGGGCCCCGCCCACCTGCTCGCTCTGGCCCACGTCCCTCTGGGCAGACACCCAGACCCGCACCCCGACCTGCAGGGCCTGACAGCCGGGACCACGCTGGCTTCCATGCTGTTCCTTCAGCCTGTCAGGCAGGTTCTTTCTGGAACTTTAGTTTGCCGTGTCCTGTCTGGAATGTTCATCTCCAGGTGTCCACATGGGTCACTCCCTCACTTCTTTCAGGTCTCTGTCCCCATCAGTGCCGCTTTTCCTGACCTGCACCTAAACCTGCCACCGCCCCTCCCCAGCACTTCCCTTTTCTGCTTTATTTTTCAGCATTTTTCATCATCCAGTGCATTTTACTGTTTGTGTTTGGGGGGGGGGGGCGGGAGGAAGAGGCAGGGAGGCTGTGAAAACCCAGGCCACAGTGACACCGACCTGGACCAGGGAAACGGGGGCAGAACTGGGGAGAAACAGTCAGATAAGAGATACGTTTTGAAGGTAGAGCCAACAGGATTTGGCAAATGAAGGCCAGGTGTGAGAGAGGGAGAAGTCAAGGATGAGTCCAGACTTCTGCGTGAGCAGCGAGGACGGAGCCGCTGCCCTGGATGCAGACGGGTGAAACTGCGGAGGACCCGAGGGGACGCCTCCGGAGTTTGGTTTGGAGACGTTAAGTCTGCGATCTGCACAACACACCCTGGCAGAAAGGTGCAGTGGGTGGACGGAGATGAGCCTGGAGAGGGTCCAAATCGGGCCTGGGGGCCCGAGGCCCGGCTGAGGCCACCAGGGGAGGGAGTGTGGATGGAGGAGACCAGAGCTGAGGTCTGGGGGCAGAGGCAGGGCTGCTGCCATGGAGGAGTCAAGGGGAGCGTCCAGGGATGCGGGGACTCAGGACCAAGCGTGACCGACTTCCTGTTGCCTGCTGCTAGGAGGGCGGGACCGTGGGACCCAGACACATGGGGGTCGTGGTGACCTTGAAAGAGTAGCCTGGGGACGGGGTGAGCCTGCCTGGAGGGGCTCAGGAGCAGAGACAAGCCTGAGGTCCCTCGGCAAAGAGGAGCTGAGGAAAGGGAAGGACGTTGTGGGGAGGAGGGCTGGGCTGGAGGAGGTTCGCACTGTCGCCCCGAGAAAGGAGGGGCATCAGCACTTCTGCGCGGGCAGCGGCAGGGTTCAGACCCGGCAGGGGGCAGCGGGGTTCCGCACGACGGTGCTGACACCGAGGCGGGACGGGACGTGCCGGCCCCCCTTCCAGACCTCGCTTTCCCGAGGGCACAGGAGAGGTCCTGCCTCGCTGCCCCAGCACCACCGCCCAGCCTGGCACATGCACTCAACCACCACCTAGTGCCCGTCACCCTCTGTGCCGGGCACTCAAGAACTCGTCACAGGAATGGATTCACAGGTACACCCGCCGGGGTTCTCAGCACTTTGAGAATTGCCACCCTAAGGCAAACAGGCTGGGACGAGAAATTCGGACTCTGCCATCTCAGCCCTTTGCCCCAAGCTGGTCACCTACGGAGAGGGTGCTGGGTGGCAGCAGGGTGAGTCCGGCTATCACTCCACTGCTGTTGAAGCAGAAAAACAATAAATGGGCCTCTCGAAAGCACCGCATGCCACCAACCCAGAAGCTGTGCTTGGCCAGGGGCCAGGGCAGGGTAGAGGCCTGGGGGGCCAGCACCGGCTAGAGGCGAAACACTGGTCAGGGGGACCCTGGGCCCACCTGGAACTCCTGAGTCCAGCTGTCACCCCTGATGCCCGGGGTCTTGGCGCTGCAGGCCCCGCCCACCCGCCTGCACTGGGGGCGGCAGCTGTGAGACTGAGGGCGGTGCCGGCAGCTGCCTTCCGTGGCGCTCACCCCCGTGGCGCTCACCCCTGTGGCACCACCACTACGGCACTCACCCGGTGCATGTCTTCGTACTTGAGGAAAAGCACGTTCGAGTCCATACGGTGCTCCCAGAACTCCTGCACGTGCTCAAACCAGGAGCCGTAGCCCACTGTGGAGATAAGGGGACAGGTGACCAGTCACAGGGAGGGAGCGGGCATGTGTGAGGCGGCCTTGCTCCCCGCCTTCCCTGCCAGAAGGCTCCCCTCCTCTGCCCAGTAGCTATGTTTCAGGAAGCCCTGGGCTCCTCCAGCAGCCCCCCAGATGAGCCACGTCCCCTGGCCTCCTGCCCAAGCTCGGCCCCTGCTTCCCAGATGCCTAGACGCCCCGACCCTTCCGTGGAAGTCTCTGTTCTCCGGGGGTACGGACGGTACCCGGCACCCATGAGTTCCTCTAACAAGGGGTGACCAGGAAGAGAATGACGCCCAGAGGAAGTGGGACACGGGACCCGTGAGTTTGGCTGTCGGGGCTAGGATGGGGTGCGGGAGGCTCCAGACAGAGCTGCGAATGGGGCTTGCCAGGCAAACGCGTCACAGCCAGAATCCTGGAACCAGGCAGAACCAGGAAGGCGCGGGGATGAAGGCGGGCAGTGGGCCCCGTCCTGGCACGTGAGGTTCGGCCGGACGGGACGACAGGTCACACCCACACCCCAGCCCTCGCATTTCCCACGCTCCTCAGGGCCTTGGTGTGGGGTTGAGGTCACACAGGCAGAGACAGATCAGTGTGGCCGGGCTGCTTCACAACATTTTTCATAAAAACGATTGATTCTCACTGCCGATTCACACTGGTGTGCCCATCGCTGTGAGGACATCTCCCGAGGGGGCTTCCACATTAATCAGAGGAAGGTCTCGGCTGAAGAACATGGGGGCCCCTGGGCCTGCTGGGCATCGGGAAGCAGGTCCGGCTGGATAACGGGCCAGTCAGGGGTGGTGGCCCTGCTGCCTGCGTCCTCACTCGCCCGAGCGCCCGTCCAGCTCACAAGCACTGGGCCCTGCAGTGGAGCTCCCGGCCTGGCGGCAAAGCCCCAAGGAGACTGGCACGGCGACACGGAGTGACCGGCACTGGGAGGGAGGCCCCGCGGACACAGGCAAGCCTCGAAGGATCAATGAGGGCTAGGCAGGCAGCGGAGGGGAAGAGGCAGCAGGGGAAATGGCGCACAGAGGCAAGGCCTGCAAATGGGCCTTAAAGACATAAGAAGTGGACGCGGGGGCCCGCGGAGCGGGTCAGAAGCAGCTGGCAAGGTCAGAGGGCGGAGGGCGAAGGACAAGGGCTCGGGACAGAGGCAGCCGGCCCCTCATCTCCTCGCTGGCCGTGAGACCCGGCGGGCCCTGAGCCTTTCTGCCGCCCCCCCAGGGCTGCTGCGGCGCGGAGAGCCCTGCGTACGGGAGGGCCTGCAGGGGCAGCGCCTGTGCGTCCTCCTCTCTGGTGGAAGGTTCCACGGGGTGGGACGGGCAGGGTGCCGGCGAGGGTCCTACTTGTAGCGCTGAGGCCCCTGGGTGGCAGGGCCGCTCCCGCCCCCGCACAGGCACACCTCAAGGTGCTGACAACCTCTTACACCTACACGCGTGACCAAGGCTGGGAAAACAGGGGTGACCCAACGCCTGGGTCCAAGGCAGCGTGACCCAACAACGTCAGCCTGCCATCCCGCCAGCAGGTGGCAGCACAGCAGCAGCCTGAGCCCCGCAGCCCCACGAGAGGTCCTGAGGGATGGAGGCGCAGGTCAGGGGTCGCTGAGGGGCGGGCCCTGGGGACCAGATCAGAGCAGAAGGCCCTCTTCGGGCCAACTAGGCGCCCCTCCAGCACTTCATGCGGAACGAAGGAGGGGAGCTCTGGAAGGGGAGGGGTAAGGGGGCGGAAATGAACCAACACAGGGCAGGCTTCAGCCAAAGGCCTTGCTGGGCGGATCCTGGCCCTCTCTGGGCCCCGGTGCTCCCACGGCAGAGTTCTAGCTGCGGGGCCCTGGACTCCAGGCCTGGCACATCCCCGCTCCGTGCACGCACAGGGCAGGACGTAACAGCCAGGCCGGCCTTCCCGCTTTACAGGACAAGGGCGAGTCCAGAGAAGGAAGGGACCTGCGCGGCTCACGGACAGGCTGATGACCTCGGGGCCCTGAGCGGAGTCTCCCAAGTCTGGGCCCACAGCTGGCACGCAGACCAGGTGAGCCGCGCCCCGGGGCCGAGCAGTCCACTGGGCGTGGACACGGAGGTAAGAAAACGCCACTCCTTCCCAGAGAACACTCGCAGACAGACGGCCAGGGCTGCTGGGGACGGGGACGGGGGAGGCTGGACGGGGGGTGACTCGGGGACCGCGAGGACGTGAGGACAGGGTCACTCGCACGGGGACAGGGGTGACAGGACAGTGGTCACACACAGGGACTCCTCCACCCTGCTCCTGTCCCCCAGGCACATGGCTCCAGGGCCCCCCAGCCCTGCAGTGTGCAGGTCACGACCCCCAACACAGGGCTCGGGCAGCGCGTCCTCGCTCTGTTAGCAAACAGCATCATTTCACTGCCCCTTCCGCACTTCATTCTTCAAGTTCTTCAGAACCTCGGACAGAGAATGCAAGCCTCCTCGAGAGCCGGAATCGGGCGGGAGCAGAGCGTGACCAGGACTGGGGAGGCTCAGTACATGGGCGCAGAGGCCTTGGCGGGACCACAGCCAGCGTGTGCAGCCTTGAACTTCAGTGCCCGCCAGTGCTGTGACCTTCACAGCGCGGAGAGGCCTGTACTAGGCAACCTGTAACGGCTCTGGCCCGGGCAGGAGGCTTTCAGCCCTGCACCGCAGGGCAGTCTGCACTTGGGGGACACTGCTATCTACGACAGTGTCCCCATGCAGGTGACTGCTTCTACAAAGGCAGGGATGCAAAGTGGGCCTCAGAAATATGGCTTGGGGAACCACAGGAGTGGCTTGCTCCAAATGCCTGGCAGACCCCGAGGGGCCTGAGCCAGGCGGTGGGTGGGCTGGGGGGAAGGGAGGCTGGACAGAGGCCTTCAGCAGGTGCCAGGGGCCTTAGGGTACGGCCGCTGGGGCCACCGACGCCTGTCCCCTCCCACCCGGCCCCCCCGCCCCGCCCCAGTCCCAGCTGAAGCAAAGACTCAAGGGCAGGGAAGAGAGGGCCTCCAGGCGGTGTGGGCGGCGCACCAAGGAGGACTTGGTCTTCAGCCAGGCTCGGGAGGCAGCTCCAGTCGGGCCACCCATTTAAATTTGGGGTGCTGTACTCCTGGACCGCCATTATGCACCCTACCCCACCCCATCCCATGACCTCACCGCAGAACCCCTGACTGGGTTGGACAACAAATGGACCGCGAGGCTGAGGGTTACTTGAGCGCATCTGTACACTCCTCGGGTGCGGAGGAGTCTGGGTGCAGGTTTAATCAACAGGTACGTAAGACCCATTTCAAAACCCTCCTGGGCGCAAACTCTAAACAGAAGGTGCCCAGAGAAGCCAGGGTTGGCGATGGGGGAGCCACCTGGGGGGTGCGGGGAACAGAGCCGTAGTGAGGAGCTGCCAGCCCCACTGCCAAGGGGACGGCTCCCTCCCTGGCCCACTGCCTGGCCCACTCCGCCCCGGGGAGGGGAGACGTGGAAGGGCCCTGGCTTGCTCGGCCCAGCTCGCCCCTCTCCCCTGGGCACAGGCATCCTGCCCAGAGCACTGCCTTCCCCCTCCCCCAAAGTGCACCCCGCCTGTCACACGGGCCTGGGGCTGGGGGCCAAGCCTGACCCGCAAGTCCAGCTAAAGGCCCACAGGGCTCTCACATGAAGCCACAGCCTCCACTCTGGCCTCAGGCACCGGTAACAGTGGTATCTGGGCCACTGTTTCCACTGCTCGGAATCTAGGCAGGAAGAGGGATGCTTCTAATCGGGAAACTTCTCAGAACCCCAAGGATGTGGCGAGAGAGAAGGGCTTCAGCGTTGGACACCCACTCTGTCTGGCACTAGCTCGACCTCGGACAAGCTTCCTGACAGCCCTCAGCCCCAGCTCCTCTGCCCGCCAGCGGGGAAGCAGGCCAAGCCCGCGGTTACTGTAGAACTGGGGGCACCGCGAAGGACACGCGGGTGCTCGGCGAGCAGTGAGCACCCCCGCTGTAACATCACGCAGACACTTACGCTTGTCGTTCATGAACCTCCGGCAGAACTCCTGGAATGTGCCTCGGTAGCTCATGGTCCGCAGGGAGCGGTGGAACTGGTAATAGGACACCACCAGGTCCTTGGGGTTCCGGGCCATGTATATGACCTGCAAGAGGGAGTGGCGGGGGGGACAGAAGGACGGACGAGGTCAGTCTGCGATCCTCCGTCCCAGGCAGGCCGCCCTGTGCAGGTTCCACTGACCTACAACCCACTCTTTTGACCCCGTTTCCAACAGCAAAGTCAGCCCCTCATGCACCAAGGCCAAACGCTTTTTCTCTATCATTCCGTCTCAGCAGAGATGCACTCCTGTCCACGCAATAGCATCAGCTGGACAGCTACTTGAGTGTTTTAGTATATTTCTGTTCTCTAGCGCTCCTTTTTTTTTTTTAATCGAGGTATAGTTGCTGTACAATATTATATAAGTTACAGGTGCACAATATAGTGATTCACAACTTTTAAAGGTTATATTCATTCCATTTACAGTTATTATAAAATATTGGCTATACTCCCCAAGTTGTACAATATATCCTTGTAGCTTATTTTATACGTAATAGTTTGTATTTCTTAATCCCCTACCGCTATCCTGCCCCTCCCCGCTTCCCTCTCCCCACCGGTAACCACTAGTTTGTTCTCTGTATCTGTGAGTCTGCTGCTTTTTTATTATACTCACTAGTTTGTTGTATTTTTTTTTAGATTCCACATAAAAGTGGTGGCAAACAGTATTTGTCTATCCCTGTCTGACTTAGCATAATGCTCTCCAAGTCCATCCATGTTGCTGCAGATGGCAACATTTTGTTCTTTCTCATGGCTGAGTAATATTCCATTGTCTACATAACCCACACTTCTTTATCCATTCATCCGCTGATGAATACCCAGGCTGCTTCCATGTCTTGGCTATTGTAAGCAGTGCTGCTGTGAACACTGGGGTGTCTCTAGCGCTACTTTAAAATCAGCGGAAGACAGAAAACTTACAGCCCTGACCCTGGTGATGAGAATTATAGGCCTCATACGTCTAATGCAGCTGAGAAAAAAGGAAAAAAATCAGAGACAGTGAAAGCAGCCATGAGTCCTCAGGCCGTCGATGGGCAGAGGCTGGGCTCTGGCTGGCCAAGTTCAGCTGTGAGGAAAAGCGAAAGTGAGAGGCATGGATCAAGTGCTAGAGACATGGGGCCAAGGACAGCCTCTCTGGCGCTCTTAGCACACCGAGGTTGTCTGGGAACTTGGGCCTGTGACAGACCACCGTTTGGACTGGCACATGGGCCTCTGGTTCCGGGAGCAGCGGGGAGCGGCGGGGCGCGGAGTTACCTTGGAGTCGCCGCTGTGGAGGTCTGAGGGCAGGAAGCGGTAAGGGAGGTGGCTTTTGATGAGGCGGGGGGACGTCAGCTCCTGCAGCAGGGCAGAGGGGAGGCGCTCAGAGGACACGCGCCCTTTCTCTGGGGCCCAGGCGGACAGGGCCACAGACGAGTCAGGACCGGCACCACCTGCACCCCGAACAACCTTCTCACCTGAGACAGGACCCCCCAGCCCTGCCCAGGCGGGACCCTGGGGGCAGACACGGGCCGACGCGGTCCCCGTCCTCGGCCACCGTGGCCTGAGTCACAGTGTATCGTCAGGGGTCTGCTCAGGGGACGTGGGCCGCGATGGCAGCCCGGAGCGGTCGCGGAGAGGGGGCCCCGCAGTCAGCCTCAGCGCAGAACTCCTGCGGCTCCTGGACCGGACCGGTCCCTCCCTCGGCCAGCGCTCCGCTCCCAGGCCGTGACTCAGACGTGCCCCCCGCTCCCCGAGAGGCCCGGTCCCGTCCCACTTTGCTCCCGTCTGGCGTGGTCACCCTTCAACCACTAGGACTCTCGGTTTTCCTGTCCTGGGGGCTCCCTCACTGGGATCTCAGCTCTGTGAGGGCTGTGACATCACGGTCAGTTCAGTCCTCGGCGGGACCCCAAAGCCAAGAGCAGGGCAGCCCGCGGCAGGGGCACACGCAGCTCTACTGGAAGGCTCAGCGCTGGGTCAACACGGGCTGCAGCACCGTGGCGGGCACAGGGGCGGGAGGGGCTGGACGCAGGTGGGCCAACGCTGGAGGCTGGGGTGCAGAGACCGGCTTATGCGGGACAACGACCCGGCGGTGGGGGGCATTCTCAGAGCTTATTTCAGGCTGCTCGTCTAGTGGGAGAAGGGACAGGCGGGCCACGCAGGAAATGAGGCCTGAACGAAGAGGTGGCAGAGGGGAGGATGGAGAGAAAAAACTCCAGATCTGTCTGAGGAGTAGAAAGGATGGGACTTGGGAATAGGTTTTTTTCACTCTTGACACCAAATGTTCGATGCAAACACACCCCACCCAGCCCCCTCAACAGATGGGATGAGCCACAGCGGGAGGCCCCTCACCCCTACACTCCCCCCCATCTCCCCTACTCCTGGCATCTGCCTCCTTTCCCCCTCCAAGCCACCCACGTCACCCACTGGTTCAGTTCCAGGGTCACTGCCACCGGCTCAAGTCTTCCCCCCTCCCACCAGCTACCTGGGGGTCCCGGGAGCTCACTGCTCTCCCTCCGCCCACGAGGCCCCCAGGAACCCCTCAGGAGCACCCGTCACTCAGGGTGCAACCGTGGAAAGGCCCCAAGTGGGTCGTGTGGGCTGCTGCCACCCGCCCAGAGCCCACCTTGATGATGTCCAGGCCCGGCTGCGGGTACTCCAGGACCGGAAGCTGCTCGTCGATGTTCATCAAGCCGATCTCATCAGGGTCGGCCCCCTGGCTCACCAAATAGACCACCTCCTGCAGCAGGCTGGTGCCTGGAGGGAGAGAAGCCCAGTGAGGGGCGCCCAGAGGAAGGCCAAGGGCCAGCCCCACTCTTGGGTCAGCGCCTGCCACCCAGAAAAAGGGCTGAAGGGCCGCAGAGCTGGGGGGCGTGCAGCGTCCCAGGAGTGCCTCGAGTCTAGTGGAAGAACACCGGCCTAGGCGTGAGACCTTGGCCCGAATGCCACCTCTCGGGGTGACCGCGGGTGAGCCAGGTTTTCTGAGCTCCTGTTTTCTTGGCACTAAACGCAGGCAGGAGATTTCTCAAGGCTGTTGTGAGGAGTGAACAGGACACACAGTACCTGCCTCCCCAGGGCTCGAGGACTGTCATGAACGGACGATTCTCAGTCCTGGGTTTCCAGAAGCTGAATTTTCGTTTACCCAGGAGTGATGAAGGTCCAGGGGAATGACTCGCCAGCCAATAATGATTTACAATGAAAACTATGTCTACTGGTACCTGCTAAAGTGAAACACAGCTATGCCCTGTGACCGGAGAACTGTACAAGACAACCCCGACAGGCACGTACCGGAACGACCCTGCAGCGTTACTCAGAAGAGCAAACCTTGGAAACATCGGTCAGCAGCAGCATGAATGAATAAGCCAGGATACGGGACACTAGGCAGCAGTGGAAGCCAGACAGCAAAGGGTGTCTGCTGTGTGATCCTGCACGTCCCCATTCCTGTGGGCTCCGGAATGGGGACGTAAGCTGCAGCGACAGGTGAGGACAGCGCTTCTCCGGGGGAAGCTTATCGACTCAAAGAGGACATGAAGGAGTTTCTGGGGTGCCGGGACGGCTCTTTACCTTGGTCTGGTGGCAGTTACATGGAAGTATGCACACACAAGGTATAATTCAATTCAAAGGAAACACCACCTGTCTGCCCAGCGCTGTGGTCAGCAGAACCTGCTCCCCGAGAAAGACGGAGGGGGCCCAGCCAGCATGGAGATGGGACAACTCTGCCCAGGGACACCCCAGACCCTCAAAGACGGAGAGAGGCCCTCCAGGGAACAGGTGCGCTCGTGTGTGTCGAGGGCGCCTCCCCCGCTCGTGGGGCCGCAGCTACAGCCCTGCCCGCCAACTCCGTCCTCTCAGACCACCCCACGGGCTGTCCCAGCAACGCGGCTTGGACAGGTCCCCCATCCAGACTCGAGGACAGCCCTTCTGTGCCTTATGAACAGCGAATTTCAGATTCAGGGTGGATGGCTCCCAGCCTAGACCCTTCTGCAGCTTCCCAGTGTCCATACACTGGAGTCCGGTGGTCCCTTCACCTGTACTCTGCACCAGCCCCCTGGGGTGCGGGTTCCCCTCCCCCGGAGGCTCCCTGCTGGCCCTCACCCTGCAGCCCGTGCACAGTGGCTTCAAGTCGTCTCCTCCAGCAAGCTGGCCTTCCCGGACCCCCACGTCCCCCATTACTCATCCTCGCCCGGCGCGAATTGCTTACGACGCTCCCAATTACCACACCGACTGCAAGGCCTCACTCCAGAGGCGACAGCGCCGTCTCCCCGCCAACACCCCCGGGGCCCAGCACACAGGACACGGCAAGCAAACCCAACATCTCAGCATCTGAGCAGGAAGGAAAAGCAGGGGCCTGGGTCGGGACACGCAGTGGGCTGACCCCACAAGGGCAGAGCCCCAGCAGCACCCCGGGGTGGCAGGAAGGGAGCCTGGGGAGAAAGGCAGCTCTCTGTGCTCCCCCAGCCCTTGCGCGGCCCCACTCCGTCCAGGCTTTCAGCTCCACTCCGGGACCGCGGCCAGCCAGGGCCTGCCCAGTCATCACCCCATCTGACCCCCCAGAAGAATCACGCTGGCCAGGTCCTCCTCCCCAACCACCCTGGTCCCTTCGCTTCGGGGGAATCGGTCTCTGCTGCTGATTCCTCATCTCCCCCCGCCCCCTGAAAGTGCTGCCCCCTCGTCTCCCAGCTGCACACACTCCCCCGGGGCCTCGAGCAGCCCCACCCCGAAGGCCAGCTCCACGCTGACCCCCGCACGCACCGACCCACATGGAACCTGCCGCCCAGCTCCCCGCCGGACCAGGTGCCCCTGCCTCCTGCCCCCCCAAAGCCCGCCTCGCCCACCTACCATCAAGGTGAGCGCGGAGCCGACCCTTCCATCGGGGGCGCTGCTGGAGGCCCCGCAGCCCTCTGCCCTGCTCACCCTCCTTTCAGTCCAACGAAAGCAGCCAGGACCACCCGACCATCCCCACAGGGACTTCCGAGGGCTCCCCGCCCCTCTTAGGGCCCCGCAGCTCCGAGGACCCTCCGAGGAGCAGAGCAAGGTCTTCAACCTGGCCTGCGGGCCTGCCGGCCACACTCCACGCCCCATGCCCGGCACCTCCCTACCCGCCTCTCTCCCTTTCCCGAGCTCCTACCGGCCTCCTGGCTGGTCCCGTGCCCGGAGCCCTTTCCTCACTCCCTCAGGTCCTTCAGGTGTGAGCGCTGCCCTGACCAGCCACATGACAAGCACCCTTCGCCCTGCCCCGGTCCCCAGTGCAGCGACAGTCCGGGAACGGCCTGCACTGTCCTCTGCGCGCTCCCACCCCGCCGCCCTCCACAGGGCACGAGCACGGTCCTCTGCGCGCTCCCACCCCGCCGCCCTCCACAGGGCACGAGCACGGTCCTCTGCGTGCTCCCACCCCGCCGCCCTCCACAGGGCACGAGCGGTTTTGTCTGGCTCTTTGCCGGGACAGCCAGCACATGGCCAGGCTCAGTTCACCTTTTCTGAATGCACGAACAAACCCTGGGTTTGTTCAACGGGATATGTCGATCAAGGAAGACTCCTCAAGGAGACAGCTTTGCAGCAAAGGCCCTGAAGGAAGAAAGTGTTGTGGCGGCTCTTCAATCAGAAAGAACTTCTGTCCATCAACCACAGGACCCTCACACCAACCTAAGAGGTGGGGACCACCATCCCCATTTACAGATGAGGCTCCTGCGGCCTAACTGTACCCAAGGCTACAGAGCCTGCCCGCTCCTGCTGGTGAGGCCCGTCCACCCGGCAGCTCAGGGCAGCTGCACTGGGCGGGTCCGTGCGCTTAGAAATACGACTGTGCGAAGAGTTTCCACCAAAATAGGCCTCTCCCAGGGAGGTCTTCAGGACGCCCGCCCCTGCAGCCCCTGCAGGTAATGACCCAGTCACACCTCGTTAGTATGTCTTACATCAATATCGACATGCCAGTTCCACAAGCTCCATCCACGCCTCCATTAAATATGTGCATCGGAAGACCAGCCTCGTTAGAGCCCACAGGAGGCGCCCTACCTGTGAGGGAGCACACGGCAGAGGGAGGGTTTACCAGCACCCCCGCATGAACAAGGAAGCTCAGAGATCAGGTTCCAGTGCAAGGTCACAGAGCCGGAAAGGGGAGCGCTACCCCGGAAGGGGAGCCCACATCCCCACCTCCCTACGCGGCCTCCCCAGCACCCCCAGGGGAGGGGGGACGGGTGGAGGGTCCTGTGCGAGGCCGTCGCGTTGCTGCAGCAGGACGCTGGGGGGCCTCCCCTCCCGCAGGTGCGGGCGAAGCGGGGCCTCAGCCCCCACCCCACCATCCCCCTGCGTCCGAAGCCCCCGGGGAGAGGCGCCCGGGAGGCCAGCCCGCCGCCCAGCAAGTCCGAGGTGAGGCGGGGCACAGCCAGGCTTTCCACCCGGGAACACACAGGGCTGCCGGGTGGGTGGGACTGCCTGGCAGGGAGTAACACAAGCCACACGCTTTGCAGCAGCTCGTTTTCAACTCAACAGACGTGATGCAATCCTTCACGGACCTGCTTCTGCTGACAGCAGTGAAATCACTCCCGGGTGGCACCTTAGCGTCGGCAGTGACTCTGACACCAGCCCTCTGAGGCCAAGACCCATAGGAAACCACCGGGGTTCCGGGCGGAACTCCCCCGGGATCCAGAGTCCAGTCCGACCTGCCACAAGGCTGGGGTGGAGCCCATCAAAATTCCCACCAGAACTCTGGGGACGGGGGCGCCAGCACTCTAGGGTCAGAACCAATCAGAACTGAGCCCCCGACCACCAGGATCCCGGGGCTGGAACCCTTTGAAATTCTTTTTATTATTATTATTATTATTTACTTTCAGCTGTGTTGGGTCTTCGTTGCGGTGCGCGGGCTTCTCATTGCGATAGCTTCTCTTGTTGCGGAGCACAGGCTCTAGGCGCGCGGGCTCAGTAGTTGTGTTGCACAGGCTTAGTTGCTCCACAGCATGTGGGATCTTCCCGGACCAGGGCTTGAACCCGTGTCCCGTGCATTGGGAGGCAGACTCTTAACCACTGGTCACCAGGAAAGTCCTGGAATTCTTTTATTTTCACTTTTATTATTTACCAAAGTCACACATGTACCTAGTTTAAAAGTCAGAAGACTCAGGACAGAAAATCCAGGTCCCCTCCCCACCCCACTCCCACGTCCAGAGCAAACCCTTGCTGATTCTTCTCTTACCCTCAGGTTTCTGACATGCTTACATCATTGTTTCACCATCTGTGTGTTTTCATGGGCTACTGATTTCTGACTGAGCAAGACGACGACCCAGCCACGTTCCCTCCTGCAGGCTTCCCTCCCCGACACGGTCCCGGGACAATTTTCAGCCTAATTCAAAGTACACCGTGTAGTGACTACACTGCCTTTTTGCACAAGATCTTGTGTTTCCTTCGCTTGCTTGCTTAGTGTTCTACGGACCTATTAAGAATTCCTTCTCCAGCTCTGTGGCAAACCCTCTCCGTACGGCCAAATGCAGGAGGTGTGCTCTAATCCCACCTACCTCTTGGGGTGGTGCCCCTGCCCCTCAGCTCCCCACGACTGTCTTCCTGCAATCTCCCTCGGGCTGGATGGACTGAGTCCTTGACCCGTGTGCCCCTCGCTGGTGTCCGTGCACACGGTGGCAGAGTCCACCCCGAGCTGCCTCCTGACTGTGACAACTGTGTGGGACGGTATGTGACTACAAGCGCCTGTTTCTACCTCACCCGGGACCGGCAGTTGGGCTGGGTATGGAATTCCAGGCTGGGGACCACGT